AATGCAGAGGGTGGAGAAGTGAACTCACTCAGTGTGGACAGCCAGGAATTGGACCCGAGCTCTGGTCCGCCTGATGCCAGGATTTCTCGTGTCACCACCTGGGGTGGGCGGCTGGGCAGGGAAATTGGTGGGAGGATATCCAAAGGTCCCTTCCACTCTAGGTTTCCATTCGACACCAAGAGAATGCTGACCCCCAAAGAATTTGCAGTTCCCTCTCCCCACTGACTTAATGTATTCTAGTTACTGGGCCAGGCTCAGCTGATACAATCTGAAGGAGTTGATTTCACACTCCCAAGTACAGAATCAACCATCCCTGTAATATGTCCCTCGCTCAGCAGGATCTGACGCTGCCGTGTTGTACAGATATTATCTGTTTAATCCTCACCTCATGATATTATTGAATTTGGTATTGGTCACACAGTATGGTTTCCCTTTAATCAGTAAGGACTGTGGGGAAAGGAGAAAGTTAACCAGAAATCCCACGGGCATCATATTTAACTCCCATACAACATCTTGTTCTCAGAACTCAATAGAAGTTAAAAATAAAACCACAGTGATGTGTGTGGTTTCAATAGTCTGATGCCTGCTTTCTATGCATTTAACATTTTGAGCCAATTAAATACATAATTATCATTCCATCTTAAGTTCATTACATGGTGGTATTAATAATATCTTACTATATATAAAGCACTTTAAAATAAGACAGAATGGTAACGGCAACTTCTCTGTAGCCATTCAGTGCTGAAATTACCAGGATTTGTCTTTCTACCCTCTGCTCCAACTCAATACACTTCAATATTTCAAGGAACTTTTAAAACAGGAAACTGTTGAAAGACATTATACTATTTATTGGGCCACATCTTTAATAGAGGAATATAATACTAATCAGGCACACAACCCTTACACGTGTGTAAATACCACATGAATCTCTGCATGAATTGAGAGGGGGCTGCACATGAGTACCTACTGCACCTCATTTAATTCTCTCCTTGATTCAGGGAGACAGAGGGTTTCCCTGTTTTGAGGTGAGGAAGCTTGGACAGGGAGTGCTATCGCCACAGCCACACCACAGGGCTTGGGTTCCCCCACTCCATTCCCACTTCTGGAAGACATGCCAGAGGTGCCATCCTGACACGGCACCAAGGGCTGAGACACCCAGTATTATCTGATGGAATCTAGGCTTAAGCATTAAACAATTAAACTCCCTTCCTCTTTATTCCTACCAATACAAAGAGCTGCCAGAGGAGCACTTGGTCATGAGAAGTAAGCACATGCATGCCACAGCGACAAGAGATCAGGGTCCCTGTGGCCCTGACATTCATGGGGCTTCGTCCCCAGAGTGCGGAGTGGGTTGCAGTAGCTTCTGAATGCCTCCCAAGTCCACAGGTGAATCAAACTAGGAAGGAAAGCAGTAAAAGCAGAAATCATCAGTTTTTCTGGAGCGCCTGGGTCTTGCTTCACTGTGGCTGGTGGTTGTATAGATTGGCTAGGGATGAATAAGTCTAAATTTCCTATTTGATGAAACATCTTATGAAAGCGCTCATCCACGTCTATTTACAGGAATAACATTAAAGAACATTTATTGAGTGGTTATCCTGTGCCAGGATCTGTTCTAAATGTTTTACACACACTAACTCATAGAAACCCATTTTGTTCTGACCATATCTACTATAGTTTTCTGGTCAAGTTATTTTCATTTTTAAAATCCTGATTTTAAAAACTAACAACTTAAAACTGCCATGCACACAAAAAGTGATCCACAGCCCTAACTGGTTTGGCTCAATGGATAGAGTGTCGGCCTGGGGACTCAAGGGTCCCAGGTTTGATTCCGGTCAAGGGCATGTACCTTAGTTGCAGGCACATACCCAATAGGGAGTGTGCAGGAGGCAGCTGATCGATGTTTCTCTTGATGTTTCTCTTTCATCGATGTTTCTAACTCTCTATCCCTCTCCCTTCCTCTCTGTAAGAAATCAATAAAATATATTTTTTAAAAAGTGATCCACAAAAGATTGCTTTCCTCGTGAAGGTTGTCTCATCAACCAGCCTTTGCCTACTAACGTTAAATGGCCAATTGGGACGGACAGTTCTGAGGCTCTTCTTCCTTCACTGAGTGAGTGAGGCAGCAGGTGTTATGGGTAACACCTGTTTTGCCTCCTGAGCAGGCCCTGGTGACCTTACCAGCACCAGCAGCCTTCTTGTCTACTCATATTATGAATAGCAAAATGACCCAGAGGACTTCATATCAATGCTATTGTATTGATGAGGAAATCCAAGACATGGGAAATTAAGCAACAATGCCAAAGTCACATTCCAGAGCCTGGTCACTTATAGTTATTGTAAGGCATCAATAACTCCTCCTGCAATGCAAAGTGAGCTAGTGTTTCTGATAGCAGGGGTGAGGGGGGGTGGAGAACCTTTTTTTCTTTTTTTTTGCCAAGGGCCATTTGGATATTTATATCATTCACGGGCTATACAAATCATCAACTTAAAAAATTAGCCTGCTATATTTGGTCAAGCATTTAATTAATTCAACCATAATGCCTTGGCAGTGCCAGACCAAATGATTTCGCGGGCTGGACGTTCCCCACCCCTGCTAATAGGGACCCCAACCTATGGCAAGAAGCTGAATTCCAAAAGTTAAAATAAATGGGAATATTACAGTGTGGGTCAGTGTGGTAAATGCATTTGATTGCCTTTTTTTTAATAGCAAAGAAATTCTTTTGAATTTAGTTACCCTAAGTGGACAAAGTTGGCATTTTCTTACTTGCCATCTTCGTCTATGCCTGCCCTCCCATCTTCTTTCTTGAAGACGTCTTTGAGATTCTGCTTCTAATTGTCAGTGCTTAATTCTCCCAGATCCAAGTTCTGTACCAGGCTAACCCATGACATTAATTGTTAACCAGTTGAACCTTTCAACAGTTGACTTAGAAAGAGCAACTCACACAGAGATGTGACCACCAAGGCTGGCTTGAGGCTCACACACACTGAGACCTGGTGCTCTGAAATGGCACCTCTCAGATACTCACCTACTCATCCCAACCCGTTAGATCTAAAATTCTCTGATCATAAGAACAATTCAAATATTTACTAATTCAAAATTCCTATTCTTTTTTCAGCTAATGTTGAACCCAACTAACGGATTAACTTATGATTTATGTATTGGGAACTGAAAGCTTTGTCAAACTATCAAGTTGAGGCAAAAAAAATATTTTTTTGTCTCAGTACAAATCGTAATGACTTAGAAGCCCCCACAAGGTTTGTGCACTTCTCAAAGGGTTCTGCAATAGCCCACATGGTCCAAGTGGATTATCGGTGCTCATCCCCTCAGCCCCAGCTCTGTGAGTGTGTCCTCGCCACACGTGAAGACCGGGCATCTCACTCACACCTGAGGCACATGCAGGAGTGGAGTACAAACCAAAATGGAGCGGGCGGATACAATGGAAGAACTAATGCATTTGTTAGAGGAAACACCCAGGGAGACTGCAAGTCTTACTTTCTTTGCTCTCAAAGCTTTTAGTGGTATTGTTGAAAAATCTATATTTAAATCTACATATAAACATCATCCTGAGCGTCTGAATAGTCTCCGAACTCAATATTTTTCACTTAATACTTTTACTAGCCTTTCTGTTTCTTTATACTTTCTAGCAGTGATATGAAATGTCTGAATGGAAGGGTATAATGAAAAAAAAAGCCAACAATACATCTCTAAAAGGCTTTATATTAAAGATGTGAAGAGAAAGAGGGATTAAAAAATATTTTTCTATTTAAAATCAGTAAACATAAAAACATGTCAATAGTAAATACAGATCAAGTTGTTTCTGGTGTTGGTGCTTTTAAGGATTAAAACAAACTGATGATATAAGTAGTAAGTAAGCTGCAGTTATAAATACATTATGGTAATTGCTCTTAAATGCATACACTGAGTTTGTTTTCTGGACAACTGGAAAGATCTATTCTTATTATAAACTAGAGGCCCAGAGCATGAGATTCATGCACTCGAGGGGTCCCTCAGCCCGGCCTGCACCCTCTCACAGTCCAGGAGCCCTCGGGGGATGTATGACTGACGGCTTAGGCCCACTCCAGACAGCCTTAGCGCTGCCGAGGAGGTGGGAGAGGCACCCACCACCGCTGCTGTGCTTGCCAGCTGTGAGCCTGGCTCAGGGCTTCTGGCTGAGAGGCGCTCCCCCTGTGGGAGAGCACTGTCCACCAGGGGACATCTCCTGCATTGAGCCCCCTGGTGGTCAGTGCATGTCATAGTGACCAGTCATTCTGCCGTTCAGTCAATTTGCATGTTATCTTTTTATTATATAAGACTAGAGGCCCAGTGCACAAAATTCATACACGGGTAGGGTCCCTAGGCATGGCCAGCGATCTGTGGGGTGATTGGGGAGCCCCTGCTGGCACCTGCCCTGGCTGGCCTGGCACTGCCCACTCACTGGCCCCGCCCTCCACCGCCGGTCACCTCCCTCTGCAGGCCGACCAGTGGGGTAATCGGGGGGTCCCCGCTGGCACCTGCCTTGGCTGGCCTGGGGCCTTCGAGCTGGGGGCAGCTCCTGCATTGAGCGTCTGCCCCCTAGTGGTCAGTGCACGTCATAGCGACTGGTCGTTCTGCCAGTGGTTCCACCATTCAGTTGATTTGCATATTAGGCTTTTATTATATAGGATTATGAGTTATTGTCCAAATAATGCAAAGCATTATTTTCACATGCTTTATCTTGATTAAAACTATCATAACAAAAAATTTTGATCTTGTCTTTTTAATAATTATTTATTTCAAAAGACAAACATAAAACCAATATGAACAACAACAACAAAAAGACAAACATGTTTATTGTAGAATAGAAAAATACAGATAAACAAAAAGAAGAAAGTCAGGAGACACCTCAAATTCTTCCCATCTGGAGGCGTCCATCATTAACCCCATGGTGCACAAAGCTTTCCACACTCTTTGGTGTGAAATGACATCTCCACCTTCTGAGGCCTGGCAGCCTTTACACACTCAAACACAGATGTTTGGCCTCATGTTCAGTTTATCTCCAGGCGAAGTCGCTCTAGCGTGCCAGACTGTTTCTGCAGATGCCACCTCCCTGTTCTCCACCATCACCCTGCCTTCATCTTCCAGCCTGAACCAAACGTTAGCAGAACCATAACCTCTCTCAATCCACCATGAAACTCCTGTTGATATTTCTCATTGGATCAGCATCATTCTAATAATTTTTGTTTTGTTCTTCACAGCTTTTTGCAATATTTGCATTTTCAACATGCGGTGGCTATTCTGGAGGCCTGCGGCTGAGTGTGGACTGTGTCAACAAGACGGACAGTGACCTCAGCATTGACATAGCGTTTGCCTACCCATTCAGGTAAGGCATGGTGGCTCGTGCCTGCTGGCCACGCAGAGAGGGCACTATCTTCCTTCCATCATTTCTCAAAAAGTAATGCAACCTCCCAGGGACTTCTGGGTAAACAGAAAGAATTCTGCCTGAGCCCACAAAATACCCCACAAGTAAAATGCCCACCTGCTATCCCTCCCTGAGAAGATGTGTGTTGTACCTTCAAACCAGAACTGATTCTCCTCCAAAAAACTGCTACAAGTAGTCCAGTATTGGGGGCTATCAACATGGAGACCTCAGTTATACAATCCTTTCTCCCATCCATAGTCCCAATCTTACGGTCTCCTAAGTTCTAGATAGGATTAATGTCATCTCTAACTTCATATTGACTATGCAATATTGGCTGATAATGTATCTAATAAGATTAATTTTTAATATTATTTCCAGGTGTCAGTCACTTTACTTGCTGTTTACTTGTTAATTTCATTTAGTCATCACAATGACCTTTGAGTGGAGCACAATTACCATCGCCATTTTAAAATAGGGAAACTGAGGCACAGATATGTTTGCTCACATTCCCTCGGCCAGTAAATGGCAGAGTTAGAGTTTGAGCCCACCTGGGTTGAGACCAGAGCTCATGTATCTATTGCTATACTTAGCTTGAGATAATTTCTTCAATATCTCTATAAATTCAGACTGAAGATAATACCTTATCTTTGTCTTTGCCTTATTCATAAAATACATGCCAGGGCTTGTCTTGAATCAGACATGTTGTGATTCCAATCCAGATCCAATGGGGATTAATTAAATTTAATTTTGAAATAATTTACTCACAAATTTTTGGCACCAGATAAGTAGTGTGATGTTTTTAAAACAACTTTCAACACAATGTTTGCATCTTATTAGTGCACTCTCTTGCTTACTTCAATTTAACAAACATGCATGGAGTAACCACATGGAGCCAGACACGGCACTGGCCCTGGAATTGCAGAGAAAGGTAGAGATTGAACCTCAACGCTTTTCTTACTCGGGCAAGTGCAGCACTTTCCCAAGTCTCTCCATGGAGCCCTGGATACTTCATGTTTCTAAGGAAGGAATAAAAGGAGGGTGACCAAGTGGGAGGGAAGAATTTAAAAATTATATAGTCAAATAAGTTTAAGAAGACTTCTTAGCACTTCGCCCTTCTAATGCACACTTTGAATCACCGAGAGAAGCACAGAAACGAGTTATTGAGAAAGTTGGAGCAGGGGAGGAAAGGGGCTTGAAGCATCCAGCTATTCTTTCTCAGCCCTCTTCCTGCCACACACAGAGCACCCTCCCCCAGTGCACTCCCTTACCCTCCACCCAACCTTACCCTGCTGTGCTATTCCTGTGAAATCTCCTCAGAACCCTAGGTCTCCTAGAAGTAATTTAAACCACTGTGCTAAAAAGCAAGAACGCTTTTGCCACTGTGCTTACCACATCTGTAAACATTTACTGTCTACTATTCAGGAACCTACTCAGCCCACAGAGTGCCTTGCAGTTTTGTCCAATTAATGCCCATCTAGGAAATACACATACCATTCCAAAGAGGCTATGTCTCACTAGAGGTGCAACTTCAATGATACATTTGGATATTTTAAAGTGTTGTGCCATTATCTTCTTGGAGAAGATCTGAGTAGTAAGCAATGGCATCGAGAACTTATGCAGATTATTTTGAAGTCATTAGTATCAAAAGAAGTTGGGTTAGCAAGATGTTAGGGATGTATATCATAAAAAAGTTATTTTCTCCTGGAACTTCATAAGCCATTGCCAATGATTTGATCATAATCTTGAAATAAAATGAGAGCACTCAGCTGCTTCAAACTATTCAGTCTGTTGCAAACATAAGGAACACAATAAACTCTAATGCCAAGTCATTGGAACAAAAACAATTACAGTAGTTCTCCCTTATCCTCAGGGGATACATTCCAAGACACCGGGTGGATGCATGAAATTTCAGAGAGTACCAGGCCCTATAGTATTTATAGGGCCTATAAATACATACCTATGATAAGATTTAATTTATAAATCAGGCACAGTAAGAGATTAACAACAATAAAATGGAATGATTATAACAATGTGGTGTGATAAAAGTTGCATGAGTTGCACTGTACTCCCCCTTCTTGTGAGGATGTGAGACGATACAATGCCCATATGATGAGATGAATTGAGGTGAATGAGGCATTATTAAGTAAAGTAAGGCTGACCTGAGTACAGCCACTGCCATATTGCTGCAGTCCATCTAATAACCGAATCGGCAGCTAAGTAGCTGGGAGCGTCTACAGCGGAGACGCTGGACAAAGTGATGATACACATCCTAAGCAAGACAGACACTGATGGCATGGGTTGCATCACGCTACCTAGAGCAGCACACAGCCTAAAGCCTATGAATTATTTATTCCTGGAATTTCCCATTTCAT